CTGCTGAAATACAAAATGCCTGTGATTTTCTTACACAACTAATTATTTTACTTGAAAAATATCATATTAATGTAAAGAAATGGCCAGATTGTGAGCATTTTATAATAGCAATGAAACAATATGGTACTACTTTGCACAAAATTAGAAACAGAAAAGATAAAAAGACTTTTAAAGCAATATGTAACTAATTTGGTTAATTAAATGTTTAACTTTTTTATCTCTGGCATATATATATATATATATATATATTTTTTTTTTTTCTTTTTTCTTTTCTGTATACCCTTTTATTTTTTTTCCATAACTTGTGAGATGCATATGTTTGAACTAAAATATGCACATAATTTAATTTAAAAAGGCGTTTCAGTATCTTTCATTACAAAAGTCTTTACTGCAGACTCACTCGGAAAAACAGTCTCTAGTCGCCATATAATACACACACCATTTCAATACTAAATACTAAGTATTTTTAAGTAATACTTATATAAAATATTATTTATTGAATAATATTTAATAAACAACATCAACACAGATCATAAAACTTATTAGGCAATTCAGTCAAACCAGAACCAGAAAGAGCTGTTGTATAAAATATAATAACTATTTGTTTTAAAAGCAACAGTGAAGAACAAAAATTAAAAATAAATCTCAGCTCTCTTAAAAGTCTTATAGCTTCCTGAACAAGAACAGTTTGTCGTAAGCTTCTGCTTTCCTTCATGAAAGAGTAAGCAAACTACAAGTGACACATGAATTATAAGACAATTGAATGTAATATGAAACAATATCATTTATATTATGAAGCAAAATGATACACAATAATAAAACTTTTTGACATTCTTTGGGGAGGAACTCCATCTTTGAGTTGAATCTCACCGTTGAATCTGCTGGTTTTGAAGATGAACTTTATTCACTGTGAAAACTTTAGATTATGTTTCTTTGTCACGTCACTTGTTATGACTGGTTAGGACAGATTTATCCCGATGATATTTTATTGCTTGATGCATTATTGTGTCACATTTTGTGAGGACGCAGCATCAGACCTGAAAGTGCTGGATCTGAAGATGATCTACTTACTATGATAGTTTTTTGCATGACTGTGTAGAGCAGATGAATTATTGAAACGCTTCCCACATGCAGTGCAGTGATACGGTTTCTCTCCAGTGTGGATCCTCTCATGTCTTTTCAGACTTGATGAATCACTGAATCTCTTGTCACAGTGTGAACACTTGTAAGGTTTTTCTCCAGTGTGAATCCTCTCGTGCAGTTTTAAACACTTTGCTGAGTTAAAAGTCTTTTCACACTCAAAGCACATGTACTCTCTCACACCAGTATGTATTTTCTGATGTACTTTTAAATATTGCAGACATGAAAAACTCTTTCCACACAAATAACATGAATGTGGCTTCTCCTTTGTATGAACTTTTAGGTGCTGCTTCAGGCCTGAAGCCCAGAAAAATATTTTGCCACACTGATCACATGTGTACAGCTTCTCTCCAGTGTGGAAGTTCATGTGGTCCTTAAGGTTTGCTGTGTGTGCAAAACTCTTTCCACACTGATCACAAGTGAATGGTTTCTCTCCCGTATGAACTCTCATGTGTGCCGCAAGGTGTCCTTTTCTTGTGAAACTCTTCCCGCACTGATCGCATGCGTGCTGCTTCTCTCCATTGTGGATGTTTATGTGATCCTTAAGGTGTGCTGATTGTGTAAAACTCTTCCCACATTGATCACAAGTGAATGGCTTCTCTCCAGTATGAATTCTCATGTGATGCTCAAGACTTGTTTTGTATGTGAAACTCTTTCCACACTGAGTGCAGGTGAAAGATTTCTTGGCTCTTCTTTTCTCTAAGTTTTTCTGTTTGGTTTGAGAGCAAGTCGGAGGTTTTTCTCCAGTTTTAATATGATTTTTTCCCTCAACTTCACTCATTTCTTCAGTCTCCTCATTTTCTTCAATCGACTCTGAAATACAATTAAAAATGGTTCTTTTTAGTAAGAGAACTGTGAAAGGTCATAAAACTGAATCACGATATAATAGTGGAAATAGGGCTGGATGATATGACCTAAAATCAAACCCTCAATAAATTGAACACTCTACCCTGATTATGATTATTGAATGATTATTTTATTTTTAATTACAATTTTTTTTTTTTACATTTATTTACTTCTTGCACTCATAGTCCATTTAAGGTTCATACTGTAAATATACTCAACTATTAAATGTGGGATTTTTTTTCCAATGAAGGAGTTAATTTCTTATCTTGTGATTTTAAAATACAAACTTTTTATGGTTATTTGTTTAATTGTTAAATTTTTGTTTTTATTTGAAATTATGACAATTTTTCATAGGCTAGTACTCAGGGTCTGCACTCTCTTGTTTGTGATATTCCTGTTATACAGTATTTTAGAGTAAACTGTAGGGATGCAAAAATACAACACACTCCAGTACACTTCTGTTAAAATGAACCATGATATAATTATGGAATTAGGGCTGATATGATAGTGGAAAAAGGGGCAGTCGTGGCCTAATGGTTAGAGTCTGACTTGTAACCCAAAGGTCGCGTGTTTACGGTGTGTGTTTGTGTTCACTACTGTGTATGTGCACTTGGATGGGTTAAATGCAGAGCACAAATTTCGAGTGTGGGTCACCATACTTGGCCACACATCACTTCACTTAAAAAGCATGGATTATCATGTGTACTTCAGTATTATTTTTATGGATTGGCCATTATTTTGTGCTATGAACACATGTAATGTCGTTTCATTCATACTGGATGCTAGAGGGCACCGTTGTGCAGAAAATCCACATGCATTACAGAAGAAATATAACTTCACAATGCTCCAGGAAATCCTTAATATGGACAAAAGCATCCAGCTATTGCTGTAACTGAATGAAATGAGACAGAAACGCTTTGAATGATGACATTCAAAAAGAACATTAAGACAAACACTCCACTGCAACAATGTCTATCTGTGTTCTTAGAACCACCTCGAGTATTTACTAATTAAGTATATTTATAATCCATTGCTAATCGACATGGCAGCCTTTATTACAGTATTTAATATATTCCTGTCATTGACTCCTGAATTTGCAGAGGTAGCAGTGATAGAATTTAATCTTTTCCAGTAAGTTTAAATAGATTTTTACCTTTTATGGGCATTTTTACCTTTACAAAGCCAAATATTTTGTGCATTAAAGTGTGCATCATCTTTTGAGTCAAATTCTTACATTTAACCAACCAATTAGAATAATAAGACATTTGGGCTGTTGCCAAGCAAATGAAATCAGTATCAACAAAATTCATCTTTGCAATGCGGAGGAAACACAGAAGCTGCATCTGAAGTGGCATTTAGATGTATTTACACACTGTTTAATGCAGCTCTGAGGGACATGTAATGCTTTAACCTGCAGTTACAAATACATAAATAATGATTAGATATTTTAAACATATCTGAAATTATTTAAAAATCAAAAGAAAGGCTACTTTAAATGTGAAATTAAAACCGCCAGTAGGTAGGGATGGAAACTACCCGTTTGACACCCAGTGTCGACACACGTTTCGAGTTTTCGACACACTAGTGCTTCGAAACAGTGTTTCAGAGCATTGCTTGAAATGAGGCTGTCACGTGACCTGTTGAAATGAAGCTTCGTTACCTCACGGACACGTCACGGCGGGCTCAAATAAAACGCTTCTATTTTATTCGCATCTATATTCTTGAATAATATGTAATTGCATTTGTATTCGTGAATTTGTGTTTTTAACAAATGTGCATGTTTGTGTTGTTTTTTAAGGAACATACAAAAAATGGTGCAATGAAAAATCACATAGGCCTAATTTTTTTGGCGTATAAAACATGCTTTTTAGAAGACAAGTTCAAGTGAAGACAAGTGAAAAGACAAGTTTGATGCAAGATAAAAATGAAGAACAGAAAGTCTTTATTGTCATTGTATTGTGCAAAATACAATGAAATTGGGAAACTTTCTGCACGCACATGCGCCGCCATCTTGATAATGACATATATGCTTATTAAATATACAAATAAAGCTTACAATGACATCTCAATGAACAAAACTTCTGAATGACACGGTTGGTGTATTGACCACCAGTTGGCGGAGCAGAGCACGGTGTCAAAAGCTTCGAAGCACTGATGCAGTTTGTTGCAAAAGCCTCACAGCTTCAAAAGCCTCGTTCGGCACATCCCTACTAGTAGGTGGCAGCAAGTCACTGTTAAGTGAGTCACTGCGATTGAAACGAATCATTTAAACAGTTGATTCATTCAGGAGCAAAACAGTGCATCACATTCCCATTCAAAGGCACTGTAAAGCATAACACACGCAGACTAGATAATGCGGATGATTTGCTGAAATCCACAAACAAAGAACTGGTGTGCTATCATTGTCAAAGCCACCGTGTGTCCGGTGAAAAAATCTACGTTGACGCGACTTATGTACCACGAGAGGAAAATAATGATGTGAATGAACTAAATGACTCCTCTCAGAGACTGAAAGTGTTGGTTACTGGTCGCATTTTACATGCAATGCTGGACACTGGTAGTGCAATTTCGCTGATCAAAGCATGTCATGTTGCAAATGTCTGTTCTGGTGACACAATTGATGTTAAATGTGTACATGGTGATGTTAAGAGCTACCCAAATACTGATGTTACTGTGGACATTCATGGTCAGAAATATCTGCTAACTGTTGCCATTGTTGCTGATTTGCCTGCAGACATAATTCTAGGTAATGACTTGATTATTATAAATGAACTGTTGCAAAACCCTATGAACTTCTCGGTCAAAGACTCTGAACCAGACACTTTGTTGTCATGCTCTGTGGTTACCCGGGCCAAAGCTAGAGCTGGGTTGAAGGTTTTGCCTGACTTTGATGATAGTTTGTTGCAAGGCGGATCCAAAGGCCCCAGAAAAACATGCCAACAATGGCACAGAGCAAAGTATTTGGGTTCTCCAATGTATTGAATTCCAGCCCTTAGTCACTTTTTTCCTGGACAAATACGACTTCGTTTCTGATGGCTCCTTCTTTCTTTCTTTGGGCATAAACTATAGTTATGTAGCAGGTGTTGATTCTAAATTGTGTTTTATTGTAAATTCACTCAAAATCCTTATGTTTCCCTGTTGGTAATTAATGTATATATATATATATATATCTAAATTGTTAAATTCACTCAAAATCCTTATGTTTCCCTGTTGGTAATTAATGTATATATATATATATAATATATATATTATGTATATATATATATATATATATATGTATATATATATATATA